TTTTTACATTGCCAAAACAAAGAAAAGAAACTTCATTGTTATTACTCACCAGATACATAAATATATATATATCACAGCCAATTCCATGAAATCCATATACAAACAGCCACTCACATATCAACATCAAAAAGGGCTTACAAAAACAACCAAAGATATATATATATATATATATATATATTTTTCTTCTCTTACCAGTCGTAGTAACTACACCTCAATTTTGCAGCTCTGGTAAGCGTACGAAGGAATTCAGTGGCAAGGATAACCTTACTCCGCGGGCAGCCATTAAAGAATGGCTCCAACATCGGCCCTTCCGGCCCGTAAAACTAAGTAACAACTACTCATCGGGTTTGAAGCATGAACAGAAGGCACTTAGCTTCCTCTCTAGCAAAGAGTACTAGACCCTGGCACCACGTTGAGGTGGCCGGCTGAGCCAGGGTCAAAGATACATCGAAAAAAAAGCTCATTATCAAAGCCAAAAAAAAAACAATCAACATTAAATAATCCTCATAGAATACACGATAAAAAAGAAGCCAAATAAAATAAATTGATAAAAAAATATATAACACACGTAAGTCATTAAAACAGATGCTCTTACACAAAACAAAATACAAAAAAACACGTCCTTGTACCGCATCTCGTGCAAAACACGGCCAACCATCGCATCCTCGTGATCCATGTTCAGGCTCAGAAACTCCGGTTCCCTCTCCTTGCTGTACGGCAAACGCACCAGACGCTGCAACGGCTTGTACGACACAAACTTCTCCGCCACGTCCCTCGCAAGCGTCGCACACATTCCACCGATGTACTTTAAGAACCTGCGGCGATAATACCTCAAAAAAAAACCCCAGTATGTCTTTCGACGCGGGAGTGTGCGCAGGTCGGCAAGGTACTGCGGCACGCGAAGGAACATGTCGTCGTCACCCTTCGCAATGTACGGGACCGTGGGGAACAGGCGCAAGGCAAAGTCAAACAAAAAGTATGTCTTGCGGCTCATGCCAATCTCAGCCTCCAGGCCCCAAAAGCCGGAGCCACCAACGGTTTTGTTCGTCGTCACGCGGCCCTCATCAATGGAGGTTGTAACGACGTCGTGCCACTGCGCCGCCTCCTCCAGCAGCGTGGCAGAGTAGTTGTAGCCGTGCGACGGGTGCCGCGCAAGGACGTACAGCACGAGCATCGCACCGGTGAAGTTGTTCGCCCTCGTCGCCACTCCGGGGAACCGCCAGCACGTCGACCGCTGCAGGTGGCGGCGCCGCTGCCTCGCCTCCACATCCACAGTGGGAATGCCAAGAACAATGAGAAAGTCTCGCTTCTTCCACGCGTCCACGACATCGCGGGGAACGTATCGCAGTGCCTCCCCGTCAGTGGTGCGGGGGAGTAACTGGGGCTGCTGGGAAGAGTTGGCGGCGAAGTCATCCTCCAGGTAAGCATCAACGTTGGTTTCGATCTCTTGAGTGCGAGAAACTGCAAACAGCACCAGGAGAAACCAGACACCGACAACCGAGGCCATCCATTTGTCTGAGA